AACGCATTAAAACATTTATCAAAAATAATTTAAATTAAAATTATACAAGAAAATCTTTTTTTTTAAGAGTGTTTTGAAGTTCCTTACAAATTATAAAAGGGTCCCCACTCGAAAAAGTTTGGGAACCCATGTTCTAACGGAAATGTAATGTTCAAACCATAAGCTTTTTCCCCTCTATATCCCCCCCCCCCCATGAAAATATACAGTTGTCCTTTAGTCGGACATACGCCCAAGCTCTACAGCGCAAACTCTAGCTGTCATCGCTTCATATCAAACAATGTTTATTTAACGTGAGCTCTCCCTAAAATAAGAAATGTGTTTTTGATTGGTCTGCTTTTAAAACACGACCAGTGAGTAAGTTATATTAAGCTTACTTTGTCAGATCTAAATATGTTTAGTAGAAATGATGACATACCAAAACAAGACTAAGTGACACATCTATTTGATGATATAATCCTGTGTCTTCCATTGGACACAGATGAGCAGCATGTTTACAACAGTAGGCCTATTTAGACGGTATTGAGAGATGTTTTAAATTTTGTTAACTCAATCAAATTGTAGCATAGTTACATGCTAAGAGTGTTTATGGTTGCGTTTGCATTTTTGCTATTAAAATTGCGTTTCTGTTTCTGTTTGCGTTATTGTTTGCGTTAATGTTGGCGTTTATATTTGCGTTTATGTTTGAATTATTTGTGCGATATTATTTGCTGTTTTGCTTGCGTTTAAGTTTCTGTTTGCGTTTATGTTTATGTTTGAGTTTAAGTTTGCATTTGTGTTTGTGTTTATATTTTCCCAAACGTCCATATTTAGTTGTAAATTTTACATATTCCCAAACCCCGGGGAGCCCAGGCTATGTGTCGCTTGATGATACATAAGTCACGGTCCTTTACAGAAATGTTTATTTCTAATTCCAGTGCATGGCCTGGCCAGTACGGCTGGTACATGATACATGTTAACGTTCTTAAATATAATTTGGGGTTATGTTAACTAATTCGATTATTAATGTTCCTAAAGATAATAGGGGGGCTGGGGTGGGGAAAATGTTCATTGATATAAGACTGCTGGCGTGTGATACTGGACACATGTAGAACTTAGTCAACTGTCTTCGTCTAAGGCGTTTTCTCAGAGCCGATCACCACTCTATCGACCCCCCTCTGACCCCTGGCCAGCCCCGTGACGTCATCCTCATCTAAAGAAACCCGCCATTAGTAAATTGCTGCCCACTGCTTCCTTCATGATAAAGAAAACATCTTGTTTTTAAACACGGCATCTTTTCAAAATAGATCGCCATCATAATCCTCTCGTGAAACCTGAGATTTGTAAGCAAATGCTTCTGCTGCTCTGTTGTCAAATATTGTTAATATCTTGGCACTATGGCGTATGCTGGTGGGTGTATGGTTCATTTTAAGATTTGATGGTCAGTGGGTGTCTAGTTCATTTTAAGATTTGATGGTCAGTGGGTGTCTAGTTCATTTTAAGCCAACAAAACGCCATATCTGTGCCAACTAAACCCCACACCTGTGCGAACTAAGCCCCACACCTGTATCTACAGGCCAACTAAACCCCACACCTGTACCAACTAAACCCCACACCTGTATCTACAGGCCAACTAAACCCCACACCTGTATCTACAGGCCAACTAAACCCCACACCTGTATCTACAGGCCAACTAAACCCCACACCTGTATCTACAGGCCAACTAAACCCCACACCTGTATCAACAGGCCAACTAAACCACACACCTGTACCAACTAAACCCCACACCTGTATCTACAGGCCAACTAAACCCCACACCTGTATCTATAGGCCAACTAAACCCCACACCTGTATCTACAGGCCAACTAAACCCCACACCTGTATCTACAGGCCAACTAAACCCCACACCTGTATCTACAGGCCAACTAAACCCCACACCTGCATCTGCTGGCCAACTAAACCCCACACCTGTATCTACAGGCCAACTAAACCCCACACCTGTATCTACAGGCCAACTAAACCCCACACCTGTATCTACAGGCCAACTGAACCCCACACCTGTATCTACAGGCCAACTAAACCCCACACCTGTATCTACAGGCCAACTAAACCCCACACCTGTATCTACAGGCCAACTAAACCCCACACCTGTATCTACAGGCCAACTAAACCCCACACCTGTATCTACAGGCCAACTAAACCCCACACCTGTATCTACAGGCCAACTAAACCCCACACCTGTATCTACAGGCCAACTAAACCCCACACCTGTATCTACAGGCCAACTAAACCCCACACCTGTATCTACAGGCCAACTAAACCCCACACCTATGCCAACTAAACCCCACACCTGTATCTACAGGCCAACTAAACCCCACACCTGTATCTGCTGGCCAACTAAACCCCACACCTGTATCTGCTGGCCAACTAAACCCCACACCTGTATCTACAGGCCAACTAAACCCCACACCTGTATCTACAGGCCAACTAAACCCCACACCTGTATCTACAGGCCAACTAAACCCCACACCTGTATCTACAGGCCAACTAAACCGCACACCTGTATCTACAGGCCAACTAAACCCCACACCTGTATCTACAGGCCAACTAAACCCCACATCTGTATCTACAGGCCAACTAAACCCCACACCTGTGCCAACTAAACCCCACACCTGTATCTACAGGCCAACTAAACCCCACACCTGTATCTACAGGCCAACTAAACCCCACACCTGTATGTACAGGCCAATTAAACCCCACACCTGTATCTACAGGCCAACTAAACCCCACACCTGTATCTACAGGCCAACTAAACCCCACACCTGTATCTACAGGCCAATTAAACCCCACACCTGTATCTACAGGCCAACTAAACCCCACACCTGTATCTACAGGCCAACTAAACCCCACACCTGTATCTACAGACCAACTAAACCCCACACCTGTATCTACAGGCCAACTAAACCCCACACCTGTATGTACAGGCCAATTAAACCCCACACCTGTATCTACAGGCCAACTAAACCCCACCCTGTATCTACAGGCCAACTAAACCCCACACCTGTATCTACAGGCCAACTAAACCCCACACCTGTATCTACAGGCCAACTAAACCCCACACCTGTATCTATAGGCCAACTAAACCCCACACCTGTATCTACAGGCCAACTAAACCCCACACCTGTATCTACAGGCCAACTAAACCCCACACCTGTATCTACAGGCCAACTAAACCCCACACCTGTATGTACAGGCCAACTAAACCCCACACCTGTATCTACAGGCCAACTAAACCCCACACCTGTATCTACAGGCCAACTAAACCCCACACCTGTATGTACAGGCCAACTAAACGCCACACCTGTATCTACAGGCCAACTAAACCCCACACCTGGATCTACAGGCCAACTAAACCCCCACACCTGTATGTACAGGCCAATTAAACCCCACACCTGTATCTACAGGCCAACTAAACCCCACATCTGTATCTACAGGCCAACTAAACCCCACACCTGTATCTACAGGCCAACTCAACCCCACACCTGTATCTACAGGCCAACTAAACCCCACACCTGTATTTACAGGCCAACTAAACCCCACACCTGTATCAACAGGCCAACTAAACCACACACCTGTACCAACTCAACCCCACATCTGTATCTACAGGCCAACTAAACCCCACACCTGTGCCAACTAAACCCCACACCTGTATCTACAGGCCAACTAAACCCCACACCTGTATCTACAGGCCAACTAAACCCCACACCTGTATGTACAGGCCAATTAAACCGCACACCTGTATCTACAGGCCAACTAAACCCCACACCTATATCTACAGGCCAACTAAACCCCACACCTGTATCTACAGGCCAATTAAACCCCACACATGTATCTACAGGCCAACTAAACCCCACACCTGTATCTACAGGCCAACTAAACCCCACACCTGTATCTACAGGCCAACTAAACCCCACACCTGGATCTACAGGTCAACTAAACCCCCACACCTGTATGTACAGGCCAATTAAACCCCACACCTGTATCTACAGGCCAACTAAACCCCACACCTGTATCTACAGGCCAACTAAACCCCACACCTGTATCTACAGGCCAACTAAACCCCACACCTGTATCTACAGGCCAACTAAACCCCACACCTGTATGTACAGGCCAACTAAACCCCACACCTGTATCTACAGGCCAACTAAACCCCACACCTGTATCTACAGGCCAACTAAACCCCACACCTGTATCTACAGGCCAACTAAACCCCACCCTGTATCTACAGGCCAACTAAACCCCACACCTGTATCTACAGGCCAACTAAACCCCACACCTGTATCTACAGGCCAACTAAACCCCACACCTGTATGTACAGGCCAACTAAACCCCACACCTGTATCTACAGGCCAACTAAACCCCACACCTGTATCTACAGGCCAACTAAACCCCACACCTGTATGTACAGGCCAACTAAACCCCACACCTGTATCTACAGGCCAACTAAACCCCACACCTGGATCTACAGGCCAACTAAACCCCCACACCTGTATGTACAGGTCAATTAAACCCCACACCTGTATCTACAGGCCAACTAAACCCCACACCTGTATCTACAGGCCAACGAAAACCCCACACCTGTATCTACAGGCCAACTCAACCCCACACATGTATCTACAGGCCAACTAAACCCCACACCTGTATCTACAGGCCAACTAAACCCCACACCTGTATCTACAGGCCAACGAAAACCCCACACCTGTATCTACAGGCCAACTAAACCCCACACCTGTATCTACAGGCCAACTAAACCCCACACCTGTATCTACAGGCCAACTAAACCCCATACCTGTATCTACAGGCCAACAAAACCCCACACCTATGCCAACTAAACCCCACACCTGTATCTACAGGCCAACTAAACCCCACACCTGTATCTACAGGCCGACTAAACCCCACACCTGTATCTACAGCCAACAAAACCCCACACCTGTGCCTACTAAACCCCACACCTTTACCTACAGGCCGACAGCATGAAGCCCTCAGAGCAAACGTCCATAGCGCGACTTTTGGTGAATGTAGTTCTGCTGAGTCGTCTGCTGGTGGCGGCCTTCCCCTCCCCGTACCACACTTCCAGCCCGGGGGACGAGCAGCTCTACCTCCCCGTGGAGACAGACGACGATCAGCTGGTCCCGGCAGGCCTAGCAGACGATGATGACGTCAGTATAAATCTGCTGGAAGACATCAGTCAGCTGATCGAGTCCAGTCGCAGACTCCAACAGCTGCATCAGATGCTGTCAGTGCTCAACTCAGGTCAGTGGTCATACGTCGTATGTCATGTCATATCATATGTCATGTCATATGTCATGTCATATGTCATGTCATATGTCATGTCATATGTCATGTCATATGTCATGTCATATGTCATGTCATATCATATGCCATGTCATATGTCATAGGGCATTTTGTAAGTCAAGTGTCATTTCATAGCCCATATCATGTCATTTCATGTATACAATTTCATGCTTAATGTCATATCCCATGTCATATGAAGAGAACCTTAGCCGAGTTGTCCATTTCTAACGTTCAAACGTTGCTGACGTCATATCTATCAACTCACCTCAGTCGACCAAACGTTGCTGACTTCATATCTAACAACTCACCTCAGTCGACCAAACGTTGCTGACGTCATAATAAACAACTCACCTCAACCGACCAAACGTTGCTGACGTCATAATAAACAACTCACCTCAACCGACCAAACGTTGCTGACGTCATAATAAACAACTCACCTCAACCGACCAAACGTTGCAGACGTCATATCTATCAACTCACTTCAGTCGACCAAACGTTGCTGACGTCATATCTATCAACTCACCTCAGTCGACCAAACGTTGCTGACGTCATATCTATCAACTCACCTCAGTCGACCAAACGTTGCTGACGTCATATCTATCAACTCACCTCAGTCGACCAAACGTTGCTGACGTCATATCTATCAACTCACCTCAACCGACCAAACGTTGCTGACGTCATATCTATCAACTCACCTCAGTTGACCAAACGTTGCTGACGTCATATCTATCAACTCACCTCAGTCGACCAAACGTTACTGACGTCATATCTATCAACTCACCTCAACCGACCAAACGTTGCTGACGTCATATCTATCAACTCACCTCAACCGACCAAACGTTGCTGACGTCATATCTATCAACTCACCTCAGTCGACCAAACGTTGCTGACGTCATATCTATCAACTCACCTCAACCGACTAAACGTTACTGACGTCATATCTATCAACTCACCTCAACCGACCAAACGTTGCTGACGTCATATCTATCAACTCACCTCAGTCGACCAAACGTTGCTGACGTCATATCTATCAACTCACCTCAGTCGACCAAACGTTGCTGACGTCATATCTATCAACTCACCTCAGTCGACCAAACGTTGCTGACGTCACATCTATCAACTCACCTCAACAGACCAAACGTTGCTGACGTCATATCTATCAACTCACCTCAGTCGACCAAACGTTGCTGACGTCATATCTATCAACTCACCTCAGTCGACCAAACGTTGCTGACGTAATATCTATCAACTCACCTCAGTCGACCAAACGTTGCTGACGTCATATCTATCAACTCACCTCAACCGACCAAACGTTGCTGACGTCATATCTATCAACTCACTTCAGTCGACCAAACGTTGCTGACGTCATATCTATCAACTCACTTCAGTCGACCAAACGTTGCTGACGTCATATCTATCAACTCACCTCAACCGACCAAACGTTGCTGACGTCATATCTATCAACTCACCTCAGTCGACCAAACGTTGCTGACGTCATATCTATCAACTCACCTCAACAGACCAAACGTTGCTGACGTCATATCTATCAACTCACCTCAACCGACCAAACGTTGCTGACGTCATATCTATCAACTCACCTCAGTCGACCAAACGTTGCTGACGTCATATCTATCAACTCACCTCAGTCGACCAAACGTTGCTGACGTCATATCTATCAACTCACCTCGGTCGACCAAACGTTGCTGACGTCATATCTATTAACTCACCTCAACCGACCAAACGTTGCTGACGTCATATCTATCAACTCACCTCAGTCGACCTAACGTTGCTGACGTCATATCTATCAACTCACTTCAGTCGACCAAACGTTGCTGACGTCATATCTATCAACTCACTTCAGTCGACCAAACGTTGCTGACGTCATATCTATCAACTCACCTCAGTCGACCAAACGTTGCTGACGTCATATCTATCAACTCACCTCAGTCGATCAAACGTTGCTGACGTCATATCTATCAACTCACTTCAGTCGACCAAACGTTGCTGACGTCATATCTATCAACTCACCTCAGTCGACCAAACGTTGCTGACGTCATATCTATCAACTCACCTCAGTCGACCAAACGTTGCTGACGTCATATCTATCAACTCACCTCAGTCGACCAAACGTTGCTGACGTCATATCTATCAACTCACTTCAGTCGACCAAACGTTGCTGACGTCATATCTATCAACTCACCTCAGTCGACCAAACGTTGCTGACGTCATATCTATCAACTCACCTCAGTCGAGCAAACGTTGCTGACGTCATATCTATCAACTCACCTCAGTCGACCAAACGTTGCTGACGTCATATCTATCAACTCACCTCAGTCGACCAAACGTTGCTGACGTCATATCTATCAACTCACCTCAGTCGACCAAACGTTGCTGACGTCATATCTATCAACTCACCTCAGTCGACCAAACGTTGCTGACGTCATATCTATCAACTCACCTCAGTCGACCAAACGTTGCTGACGTCATATCTATCAACTCACCTCAGTCGACCAAACGTTGCTCACGTCATATCTATCAACTCACCTCAACCGACCAAACGTTGCTGACGTCATATCTATCAACTCACTTCAGTCGACCAAACGTTGCTGACGTCATATCTATCAACTCACCTCAGTCGACCAAACGTTGCTGACGTCATATCTATCAACTCACTTCAGTCGACCAAACGTTGCTGACGTCATATCTATCAACTCACCTCAGTCGACCAAACGTTGCTGACGTCATATCTATCAACTCACCTCAGTCGAGCAAACGTTGCTGACGTCATATTTATCAACTCACCTCAACCGACCAAACGTTGCTGACGTCATATCTATCAACTCACCTCAGTCGACCAAACGTTGCTGACGTCATATCTATCAACTCACCTCAACCGACCAAACGTTGCTGACGTCATATCTATCAACTCATCTCAACCGACCAAACGTTGCTGACGTCATATCTATCAACTCACCTCAGTCGACCAAACGTTGCTGACGTCATATCTATCAACTCACCTCAGTCGACCAAACGTTGCTGACGTCATATCTATCAACTCACCTCAGTCGACCAAACGTTGCTGACGTCATATCTATCAACTCACCTCAACCGACCAAACGTTGCTGACGTCATATCTATCAACTCACTTCAGTCGACCAAACAATGCTGACGTCATATCTATCAACTCACTTCAGTCGACCAAACGTTGCTGACGTCATATCTATCAACTCACCTCAACCGACCAAACGTTGCTGACGTCATATCTATCAACTCACCTCAGTCGACCAAACGTTGCTGACGTCATATCTATCAACTCACCTCAACAGACCAAACGTTGCTGACGTCATATCTATCAACTCACCTCAACCGACCAAACGTTGCTGACGTCATATCTATCAACTCACCTCAGTCGACCAAACGTTGCTGACGTCATATCTATCAACTCACCTCAGTCGACCAAACGTTGCTGACGTCATATCTATCAACTCACCTCAGTCGACCAAACGTTGCTGACGTCATATCTATTAACTCACCTCAACCGACCAAACGTTGCTGACGTCATATCTATCAACTCACCTCAGTCGACCTAACGTTGCTGACGTCATATCTATCAACTCACTTCAGTCGACCAAACGTTGCTGACGTCATATCTATCAACTCACCTCAGTCGACCAAACGTTGCTGACGTCATATCTATCAACTCACCTCAGTCGATCAAACGTTGCTGACGTCATATCTATCAGCTCACTTCAGTCGACCAAACGTTGCTGACGTCATATCTATCAACTCACTTCAGTCGACCAAACGTTGCTGACGTCATATCTATAAACTCACCTCAGTCGACCAAACGTTGCTGACGTCATATCTATCAACTCACCTCAGTCGACCAAACGTTGCTGACGTCATATCTATCAACTCACCTCAGTCGACCAAACGTTGCTGACGTCATATCTATCAACTCACTTCAGTCGACCAAACGTTGCTGACGTCATATCTATCAACTCACCTCAGTCGACCAAACGTTGCTGACGTCATATCTATCAACTCACCTCAGTCGAGCAAACGTTGCTGACGTCATATCTATCAACTCACCTCAACCGACCAAACGTTGCTGACGTCATATCTATCAACTCACCTCAGTCGACCAAACGTTGCTGACGTCATATCTATCAACTCACCTCAACCGACCAAACGTTGCTGACGTCATATCTATCAACTCACCTCAACCGACCAAACGTTGCTGACGTCATATCTATCAACTCACCTCAGTCGACCAAACGTTGCTGACGTCATATCTATCAACTCACCTCAACCGACCAAAGGTTGCTGACGTCATATCTATCAACTCACCTCAACCGACCAAACGTTGCTGACGTCATATCTATCAACTCACCTAAACCGACCAAACGTTGCTGACGTCATATCTATCAACTCACCTCAACCGGCCAAACGTTGCTGACGTCATATCTATCAACTCACCTCAGTCAACCAAACGTTGCTGACGTCATATCTATCAACTCACCTCAACCGACCAACCGTTGCTGACGTCATATCTATCAACTCACCTCAGTCGACCAAACGTTGCTGACGTCATATCTATCAACTCACTTCAGTCGACCAAACGTTGCTGACGTCATATCTATCAACTCACTTCAGTCGACCAAACGTTGCTGACGTCATATCTATCAACTCACCTCAGTCGACCAAACGTTGCTGACGTCATATCTATCAACTCACCTCAGTCGACCAAACGTTGCTGACGTCATATCTATCAACTCACCTCAGTCGACCAAACGTTGCTGACGTCATATCTATCAACTCACCTCAGTCGACCAAACGTTGCTGACGTCATATCTATCAACTCACCTCAGTCGACCAAACGTTCTGACGTCATATCTATCAACTCACCTCAGTCGACCAAACGTTGCTGACGTCATATCTATCAACTCACTTCAGTC